AACTGGAATCTGTGATGTTGGACACAATAAATTTTTCTCCTTTTTGCCGTTTACATTGGTTGTTTAATATGAGATGAAAACCCACAAAGTAGCAAGTTGTTGGGGCTGTTCGCAAATTAAATTTCACAAAATTTGCTTATTTATATAGAATGCACTGGATGAAGGTAATTTTAAGGTGGAGCGTATCTCTGGAATTTTTCTTTTGATCCATGTATATGGCTTACCATAATATTTGATCCAAAAAAACAAACAGGGAGTTTGCTCAACGAACAGACATCTAATCACGAAACATCCCTATATCTGCCGCTTCGAACTAACAACACCTTGATTCGCCACAGTTAGCGACCAACAGACACAAGTATTACAGATTCCGTGACAGTATTATGTGAAATATTTGCAAGTGACAGAAGATTTTGGCCCTAGTAACGACGTTGCCTGGTCAATGCATTTGTTCATATTTTCTGATGACACATTAGAACATTTGTGCAACAATGTGATTAACATCGAAAGTTGACTCAATAATGTGTCCGATCCGAGTTCACTCATATGATACGATTGCAACCTAACCAAAAGCAGTTCGTCCCAAGTAAGGTAATAAATTCCTGGAAGCATTATCCACAGTTGGAGTGCCAATTAAATACTAGCAACTTTTTGGAAAAAGTTCACTCAAGGTAAACTCTATTATTTACAAAAGAGATACTGTGATGGGAAAAGCACGGCATCAACCAGATAAATTATTACTGGATCCCAAATAACTCAATTCTTGCATATACGACCGGTTGACCCCATGTCGATCGAAAGGGTACCTGGGGTTCACTATGCTCTTCATTAATGATGAAAAAAATCATTTCGTTGTCAAGCAAGTTGTTCTGGAAGCCAGATGATTCTGTGGTGTCACTTCGAGCTGCAGAATTGATTAGCAGGTGATCACCATGAGTCAGTCCAATCGAAGAAAATTTCCAATTTGGTAATCAGAATACCAATTTTAACGCCCATACTCTAATTCGTAGAGTTTTCAATCTCCCCAGGACAGTATCAATGAACTTCGCGAGTGATCTGTGTCTTGATCTCTTCTACTTAACATCAAAAAAGCATCCAAATTTCCTTTGATTTCGGCTCCCGTTATTTTGCGTTGGTAAATAATCATCATTATATACATATAAAAACCAAAATCTGGTTTTGTTAAATACCTTGGTGTCTTTCCCAATCATAACCCATGCTGGTTTGTTCACGCAATTAGCGGTTTACAAAAGTTCGGAAAATTTCTTACTTTCATGTATACAGGCTCAGAAAACTGGTTGTTCTACATCACCTGATTCTTAAATTCGTGATTTTCTGCATCCTTGCCATGCTTGCGATGCTTGTTTATTGTCAGAACTACACCGCTTGCATTCCAAAATCGTGAAATCCGTGTCAAACCCCCAAACTCGCCCCAAATATCATCTCCTATTTGACCGTACTTCGTCACACGGAAACAATATAGTTCCACGCTTGTTTCGGCTCTTATTCAGTAGTATAACAGTAGACATCCATCTCATTTTCTGTTATTTCTTTAATCACAATTTCTTGTATATCCACTTAACAAGTTCGTAAATTGCTGAAGATTCGCACTTTGGATTCATCAAGCGTTTATTGAATTCACTTGATTTGAACAAGCTTGCTTGCCATAGCAATCAAACTTCGAAATCCCCTGTTCTGTCAACAAAAGGAGAATTGCATCAGTCTGGCATTGCCCCGGTAACGACGTAAATGGAAGAATGAATTCATACTGTATAGGATAATCAGCGCTTGTGAAACGTAAACTGTTCAGTATTCTACCTTGAGCGCCAGCAGAGATGCAGCGGAATGATTCCGGAATATAACCGTGCTCGCTTGCAATGTTGTATTCTTTATTCAAGTTTATTTGGGGAACTAATTGCTTTAATACTCAGTCTGTTGAATGCCACGGGACTTCAGGATGTTGGAGAACTTCTTCAAGATGCTACACTTGAAGTCCTGCATGCAGGTTTGAGTACTCGCTCTAGCAACGCACAAACCATTTCTGGAGAGGTACGTAAAAGAAGACTCTCTTGGATGGCAAATGGTTTTAGGTGATTGCAATATGCTGATTGGCGAAAAACAGATCTGTTCTCTTCCTCTCGACCATCGTGGATTAAGCGAAGACATGAGTACAGTCTTCAAACTGATCAGCAAGATGCTAAGTCGAGACAGATCACCACAAATACACCATCTTAATTCTGCTATATGCATGCATATCTACAAGTTAGTTTAATCATACGTTGTCGAGTCTGTTACGGTTAAAGAACATTAAGCATAGACTTGATAGGAGCTTAGAAGAGGTATTATGGCAAAGTCTTGGAAGTAACACACACCTTCAATAGCCACCTTATACCTATCCCTCAGTATACCTTCTCATATACAACCTTCACAATCAAACTTATTTTCATGTCTCTTTTTTTGGATGTGGTTGGGTACAACTTGAGTGGGGTTGTGAGTTTAAGGTGCTGATTCTCACCAGGTGTGAGATTGCTGGTCCTGACGGTGAGCCTACTTTCAACCCTTCCCTCAAGACTACTATGCATACAATCAGTCAGTATAAAACCTGGTAGTCGAGGCACAATAAGAGCTTCTGAATTAGTGTTGTACGTATGTTCACACGTGCTGGTTTACGCGGCAAATCCGATAACCTTACCTGGTTTTTTTACTGATAATCCAACCCGTTCGTAAGGGGCTCTTAATCCAGTTTTCTCTCCTCTCTCCTCATCTGGAGAGATCAACAGAACGTTGTTACATATAAATACATAAAACCATCGTTTATCTCTCACTGTCACTAATCTTAACAGAGGGAACTAGATTCCCATATGTAGCGACTTTTCACCAGGACGAAGAAGAAAGTTATATTTACGGAGCCTGGATTTCTCTGAATCACACTCTGTCCTGGTAACTGTAATGGAGTTAGCAGCCAGATGCTTAAAGAATAACTAAAAAAGCCGTTATCCACACTTATTAAGCCGCTAATCTTCAGGAAACCTTCATCAACAAGCCAGCAATACACAAGCACGAAATATAAACTACCCATCTTGATCTCATCAGCGGTTACTTGTCCATTTACTTTCATCTGTGCGGCGAGGCACACGTAAGTCGAATGACGAAGCGTTTATCTCGGAGAATCAAAGAACACGAACCTGACTGATTCAAGACTAAACGCGTGAAAGCAGTGAGCAGCGCAGTCGTAACACTACGGGTAGAAACAGAACATTAAGTTGGCAACGGAAGTCATTTACCGAGTACCTGTCGACAAGTTCACAGCTTGTATAACAACATCAGTTTGCAATGACGGAAGCAACCACAACCAGACTCCTAAGCCCATCACGGTTTACAGAAAAAATGGTCGCAATATCCCCATCTACTTTGGCGTCGAGTACACCTAGATACCAAATCCAGTCGTAGCACAATAATGGGGTCAATACGCTAAAGTCATCGAAATGCTACAGACATGACCTCTGATCCCATTCCCGTTCCTCATCTCAGTCTGTATGGTACACCCTTTAGTTATTATCGTTTGAAAGATTACCATACGCGAATTGACACTATAGTTCACTCAAAGACCGATATTCCAAAGGAATTTATTCATAAAGATGCATGTAACCTCAAATTCCTGAAGACAAAGTAACGAAAACTAGCTTGATCGTGTTCTGTTTACCAAAGGAGAACTTCCATTGAATGATTTGCATGGCATATTAGCTTTCCGTAAGATGTGGAAGAAGTGTGGAAGAAATACATGAATTGCGTAACACTTGTACGCGCTCATCACAGCCATCCAGTACAGTTATGTAATTCAACAGTACGAAGCAAATGGACACTTCACTTCAATGTATGTGCATATCATGAGTGAAGCTTATCGCTCTATCCAACCACCTATAGATAGCAAAACTAGTAATGACAGTTGTGCACACAGTGAGTCGCTTGTATTAGAAAACGAAGGCCCCAAAGCACAGCAACGGAACGCACGGAGGGTACACTAGGGTTACCTTCAGACTCCATGCTTCATTGGTTTGTGACCATTTGTCATGGACCAGTTAGAAAGATTACCACTAGCTGTTTCGTCTGGGGAAACCTCGCACAAGCCAGGTTAGCATCTGTTAGAATGAACTTATCAGTGAATTAGTCTGTGGGATTGGGCACTGAGAGTGGAAATTTTAATTTGCTTCATCACGTGTTGTGGGAATTCAAGCGTGCAAAATTTGACTATTCATCTAAGCCGACACTAAATACAGTGAATTTATTCATAACCAGTTTCTTTTGTAGTAAAAATAATTATGAAAGTGCTATCGGTTTATATGACGTTGTTGGGACTGAAAAACTGCGTTGATATTTTTATGAAATAATGAGAGATTATGTTGAACAGCAAATAGTCATTTTGGCAACTCCTTATGACACTTGTACAGAGGGCACAAATCGGACAAGAAAGCCTACAGGTTGCTAGCTGTTAGCTGGGTTGTACGTCACTGGTTTACGAGTTTGAGTGGAGGCAATGAGTGGAGGCAGTGATTGTGTGTCCGTGCGTAAATGTAGGTGTCTATGCATGTATATATGTATGCATGTATGTGTGTATATAAATATATATGTATGTACCTGAGTGTTTCCCTGAATGCTCTCAGGCATTCTTTTTCCGAAGAGTCAAACGGCACATCAAGCGTCATCAAATCATTCATGTTTGGCTATGATTGTCACTAACCAATGAGTAGTAACCTACAACCTATAAGTTCTTCAAACTATTTCACTGAACTGACGAAAACAAAAGTATCTGTTAATCAATTTAAAATTGCTCAAGTTGTTCAAAGCAGGGATTTAAGTTCTTACTTAGGGGTTTCCTTGAAAAAGCTTATTTGTAACCATTGTATGACCAATGCCAACGTATTTTGCCATTTCGTAAAACATTACACATAGTCACCTGATTATCCTTTCTATCCGTCCACCCATCCTTCCATGCAATTCAGATCTCCACTTCGGATCCGGATCGTGGCGCTGCGGGAGAAATTAGTTGCTTCCTAGGTGATCCTTTAGTCGAACTGCCTCATCAGCAACGGCTAGGATCGACAAGTATCAGTTCGGAAAGCTTGGCTAAAAGCCGAACGGATTTTGTACTTCAGTCGGGTCCAACGTCCAGTCTGGGGATACATATGATCGGTCCGCACACTGACTATCATCCAGATCCTGATCGTACAAATGGACGTCGAGATGCGGATTACGTCCTGCTTACACGAACCAGTCTGGATCGGGAAGTGAAAGGATGGTACATTCTTAGTCTGGTTTGTCATGATCACGGGGATCAAACATCTGGTTCGATGTATCCAACCGAAACCAATCCCAGTCTAATTAGACATAGTCAGACGGCTCGACGTTTGACCTCGACACGTCTGATCAAAGTCATTGTGCTTGATGAGAATGACAACGGACCGAAATTCGCTCGAGGACATTGGAATGCCCAAGTCCCAGAACATTCAAAACCAGAGACTAATATCGTTCAACTTAAAGCCACCGATGAAGATGCACCGGGGATAGCTAGTCGACCTTTATACCGACTAGCAAAACCTTCGGAATGGAATGTGGACAATAGAACTGATAGCGATTTGAACATGATCTACGAGTACTTTAATGTGGATAATACGACCGGATGGCTTCGCACTGGTGCAAAGCAGCTGGATCGAGAAGTTCGAGACAAGTACAGTGTTCCAGTAGTAGCTTATGACTCGGAATTCCCTAATCGCACAGCACTTGCATGGGTCCATGTTCAAGTAACTGACATCAATGATAACACCCCTCAACTGGTTGGAAATACTACGTTTTCTATCGAAGAGGATGAATCCAGCGTAATACCCCATATTCCACACACCACATCGATTGTAGATCATATGGACGGGAAACTCGGACGACCTAGTGGTCGACCCGTGTTTGTGGGGCATTTACAGGCACAAGATTTGGATAGCGGAGAAAACGGCCAAACCTCGTTTGCACTAGCCCCGACAGATTCTGATACACACGCATCATCCAGCAATCTTCTAAATTGGTTTCTTCGTCCAGATGGTACTCTGTTTGTACATTCCAGTACATCCGCCCCGTTAGATCGTGAACAACAGGCAGTTCATCACATCCCCGTGATTGTCCGGGATCATGGATCGCCAAAACCGCTCTCTTCAACAGCCACAGTGACTGTGTTTGTGCTGGATCGAAATGACAATGCGCCCCAATTCGAGCGACCTTCATCAGATCGTGAACGACCTTCGTCTGGGACCACGTCAGCAGGCGATGGGCAACCCCATTTACCTCGACTACCAATAGATCATGTTGAATTGACTGAATCGATCAGTCCGGGTACATTAATTTATACTGCAGTTGCACATGACCCCGATCAATCTGAGAATGGTCTTGTAGTATATTCCCTCGAACCGTATCAAGGATTTTGGCAACTGGTTCATACAAGACCTTTACCCACGAATCAATCCACAGACAAGAACAAAAATCAGACTTCCGATTTGACCAAACAGCCAGAGAAACACCAATCAGCATCAGAGACCCATCCGTATTTTATCATTGATCAGACCACTGGAGAGATTCGAGTCAATCAGCGATTATCTGCCCAGGACACGTCGGTACCACGTAAGCTAGTCATTTTTGCTCAGGACCAAGGTGTCCCCATCCGGCGAAGTTATGCTTTCCTATACATTGATATTGTTCCGATTACGGGTATCAAACCGCCGAAAAATGTGTCCAGTTCCGGTACGTTAAATGTGCCCGGAGCTGCTGCCGCCACCGGTTCCGCGTTTCCAAACGCACCATCAGACTCATCCAGTGCAGACCTAGTGGATTCGAGTCAGCGCTCGAACCACCTCTCACCTCAGGAGAACAGTTTCGACACGGAATCTAAAAATAAAAAATTGGTCATGTCCAATGCACACGAAGCGTCTAATTTGCAACCGATTGAACGAGGCCGACAATTCGGTCGTGCAGGGGGAATACGCCAGATATTATCATGGAATTCTGAACTGATAACCGGTTTAGGAATTGGACTGGTTGTACTCATTCTGATCTGTCTACTTTTGCTAGTCACCTACGCGGTCCATGGGACTAAACTGCTTCAAAGACAACATTCCCGTGGTCGACGCTCGAGACGACAATCGCCAATCGACAAACCGGACCGAGTGAGCCATAATAATGGGATTTGGTTGGCTTGTGCCACAGACCCCAGTGTGATGCCAACGGCCACAAATGAAGATGTGTTCAAAGGTGAGTCACAGATCCGTTCTAAATGTTGATATGTGTGCTGTCCATCTGGTCTTGTCCTTTGGTTGGAGTCATTTTCAATTTTATCAGTTATCATAGCAACATGGAGTTACATAATCCGTGAACTCAAGCTCAAAGAGAAAAATAATAACCGCTAATCAACCCACCGATTACCCTTTCTATGGCATTCGTAATTTGAGCCAATGCTTTCCAGTGCCCTGCCAAATAATTTAGCCCCCAAATCTATATTTTCCGTAAAACACACTATTGTGTGATAAACACTAGACTCCGTGAAACTTCGTAGTCATAAGGATTGTGTATTCATTCATCCAACTGGTCACCGCCACCCATAAATTGTCTGCAGTCGGTGATGGATTGGAATAATAACTATTTTGTTTCTCTTTATTTCTACTTCCTTTTTTATTTATTGAATATATAAATATACAGTCAACATTCAGGAAGGGCGGCCGTGGCCATGCAAATGCTGCTTGTAAAGACGGGCGGCGGTGGAGCGGTTCGAACTCGGGACTCGTAGGTAAAAAATTAGTNGACCTGACCACTTGGCCACCACCGCTCTAAGTTTACTTGGATAGTTAAAAATACCTATTGTTCACTTCTTGTAGCATAATTTTAGGCGGGCGATTCGGATATGAGAATTTTAAGTGTTTTTAAGCATAGAAAAATAGTACGCACTGCTGATACGTCCAAACTATAGAGTTAACTAACTCTCCGGGGGTCTTTGTTAGTTATCAAAACCACGATTTCATGGCACCCAAAGGCTTGTGGCATGTTTCAGTTTTCGGATCCATCCCAAGTCCCAAGGTTATGCTAGAGTTAGCAGTGACAAGACCTAGGGGTAGAGATATAAATTGCTGCTTCAGCAAATCGGGCATCATTTTACATTTGACCCACCGGCAGACGATTCACATGAAAGTAATTCTCAGTTCTGGGAGAGTGAGGTTGAAAGCCCATGAATAGCCAAAGCCTCAAAGTTCGTTGTTTGAACGGTTTACACACTTGAACTAATCCTGGATGGTCCCCGATTCGGTCGACGAGCATTGTGGATGATAATATTGCATGATGAATTCACTGTGTACATAAGGTATGAGTTGGAAAGCTAGGAAGTACTGGATGGCTGTTTTAACCTGGTTGAGTTTCATTGGCAGAGCGAATTCATCAACCGATTTTGGGATTGAACCCAGCCGTCACAGGCAGAATCCACTCGACTACGGGGCAGCTATTCAGATCATTTTTCATTTTGAATGTACACGATATAGCACAGCACATCTTTGCAAGCTTAGTGAGGGTTACCAAACCCCTCATGCACATCTTAGCACTATTCTCCAGGGTTATGATTTGGTTGGAAACATACACAACTTTATAATACATTTCACAATGTTTTTTCAACTGATTGTCGTTTCCCTCACCGACCGGCCTTCTGAATTCACTTTTGTTACATTATGGTTTCGGGATGGAATGCTCTGTGTCTCCACAGTTCCATATACACCTTGTAGGAAGTCATTATCACGTGCTCATCACATTCATACGCCTATCTTTCCACCAATACAGGGAAGGTGACTCATTTCCGTCAAGCCGTTCGGAATGTGTGGAACCAACGTTCCAGAAAAGTAAGTCACCCTTGCCTTTTATCTAAGAGAGAGAGAGAAAAAAAAAGTGTAAATCATTCAAGTCCGAATAGCGTTAATCCGAAGGCACAGAATGCTGGATTAGAGAGTGAATAAATTCGTCTATTTACTGACCAAGATCATAGGTACACCAGCAGTTAAGTAATTGCAGTGTCGACCCGGGTAGAATTCGACATTTGCAAAAACAAAAAGTACATTTTTAAAAGTGTTCTAATTTACGCATAATCCTCGGCTAGTGACATCACAAGGACCAATTTCGTCAATGATATGCGGGAAATGGGAAAAATAACTCTTTAATTTTTCTCAAATTATGATGCCGTCTAGGGGACAACTCGTGTATACGTCGAAACAATATGGTAGTACTTATCAACAAGCATCAACTCATTACTGTGCATCTGGACTAAAAAATAAATGTTTTTTTCTGGCCAATTACCTCAAACTGTGCATTGTTTTGTATGGGAACTATGATAGTGATCCAATCACTCATCGGAACGGTAGCGACAGAGAAACAATGGAATCCAGGTTTGCTCTTCCACTGTGCATTAAAGTTCTGTCGAAGCACTGAATTCACCGTGCTACATGTAGATGTGTCGATACGATAACGGTCATAAATTGTGAGCAAGCGTGACAATGAAGATAAAATCCACAGTGCATGATGAACTTTGCCGGGGCCAATAGAGAATTTGAGACCCACACTTGTGAGGCACGTGACTAAGGACAAAAGAGGCCGAATGCGTCATTCGAGCGAATGCTGATTTTTTACAACAGATAAGAAGGGATGTGAAAGAGGTCGGATTCAGTTAGATGTTTTATTAGCAGTGGAAATCCAAATCAATTCGGCTTGGTCGTTTTCCCTGATAAGCCTTCTACTTTCAAGTCTCCCGGGGGGTGGGGCTTGAGTGATGATAACACTAAGTAGATGCATTGTTAAGCTGCAAAATCGCGTGTAATTTTGTGGCGGGAGCCTCCAAAACAGCTCATTCGTAGTACAACCTTATTGATCAAATTCAAGAGAGATGTGCAAGAAAACGCTCGAACCAAATTATCACAGTAATAATTTTTATTATTCTCAAACACCGCGTCAAACAATACGTTTTACAGCTTTACAAAAAAACAGTACGAATTCGGTGCACGTCTCAGTCTGTCAGTGCTCGGTAGCCTAGAAGAAAATAGTGAAACCTAGTTTAGGAAAATTCTGCTTTGGTAGGTGGTAGTATTGAACACTGTCTGAAAACCTCTCTCTGACAGAGACACCAGTCTGTAAAAAATATGGAAAATAACTATAAATTGGAGGACGATAAGGCCTTTCCAAATAGGGAGGAATAGTCTGGGCGGATCCCTGTCACCCCGCCCCCTCTCTCCAGCTGGTTAGTGAGATATCACGAATAGAAGCATAGGTATTCCGCAAATGCGGGTCAACTTGAATACAGGGATTGTTTGGTCAGATGAACTGCTGCTCATCGTGTGAGGTCCTTACCGGCAACTGTGACGTTGCTTGGCACCCGTGGATGGTCGTGTGTTAACAGCAAACCTTGTATGTATGTGTGTGGGTGTGCGACAGACCATGGGAGGGCCAGTTTAATCGAATTTACTTTTATGCGCATTTCACGATGGGATACAATAGGGACCTGACAATTTGATTGTTAAATAATTCACATTTATTCGGCTTGTGATCGAAAGATGTTCTATGCACGTGATCGGCCCACTCCCAAGAGATGGATAGGTGATTTATTTGTTCAGACTGCTGCTTACGATACTGCCAAATTTGAACGAGATGAAAAAGTGGTGCTTTGAAATCGAACTAGATTGGTTAATTGTTGCGCTAACAGAAAAAACTAAGGGTTGTATATGATATAAGGGAACAGACTGTGGAGGATGATCGGGTGCAAAGGTCCAGTAGAGGTAAATGGAGCTAACAGAAGCTGCAAATGATAAATCGATTTCATCGTGAAACCGGCAATCGGATTCAACTTGATCACATAATCGTTTGTCTACTCATCCGACCATCGAGATTACTCGCAATATGGTGTGTGCGACTGGGGGTGAGTGGTTAGGAAAGCCTAAGCGTCTGCACAAATTATGGGCAGTTCCAAGTGTTTTGGGGAAGATACATACATACATACATACATACATACATTCAGTGTATGGATTCACAAAAAGAAACAACTACGAAGATTATATGACGAATTTGTCGTGTACGTCAGGTGTGAGCTGAGAGGCTGGGAAGCACTGGACAGTTGCTTCGACCTGGCTGGGTCTCTTCCGCTGTGATAGTATAACATTGTGAGTTGATCATCATGTAGCCAAGCTGGCCAACTACCTCATTTGATTACAATATGGTCCACATAAGTGGGCTTAGAGACGGCAAACTGAAAGTAGGAAAAACTGTAGAGAACCCAATCGGATCATAGCAACCTGCTGGAGGAAGCGTGCAATCAAATAGTTACAGTAGAGATGGACTTCGAAACAGACTGGATTTAATGTTTTCGAAACCTCACGGAAAATTACACAGAAACCACGTGGCTGAATTATACTAACTGTAAACGAAGAACAGACAATAATATTTGACTGAGCTGAATCTTTATTTCAGTCCATTGTACGTACCTTCCGGTTGACAGAGGATGCAGCAAAGCATTTACGCTCGGCGGTTAACGTAAACAAGTGCTTGAAATGGGGAACGGATGCTTGACGTTGATAACGCAAGCCAGTAAGTTGAGGATGTGTAGAATGTACTCAGTATTTCCAAGAAAAGGTTGTATACTCCTGAAAATGTGTGGAAATGACAAATATGATATGCTGCGAGTGAAGTAAAACACCGTGAAAAAGATAGTTTAGGGGAACCATGAATCAGTTTGAGGTGTTTTATAAGTACCCCAGGGACCGTTACCGGGGAAATGTAAAAAGTGAGATGAAACACAAATATTTAGAAACCGTGTGACCGGATAGACAGGCACGGAATGAGATTTGAGGCAAACAACATAGATGAAAGTTGTACTTGATTTATGGACAGAGTGACTAATATGTTTGGAACAAGAAAGATTTCCGTTAGAGAAAACATTGAGTTTCTCAGGGAATATTTATGGAATCAATGGAACATCACGAATGTTACTGCACCGGCCACAGTTCTCTCAGAAAAGGAAACGACTCATTTAAAGGGATTATTAGACAGACAATGTTTTGCGAACCATTTCTCAATTATCCTTCTGCGCTTTGGAAAGAATAGACTTATCGGAATAGGACAGTTCTAGAAAAATCACGTCAGTGAATCCCGAAGTACAGAAATAGTAGGAAGATAGTAGAAAAATAGAAAAGGTGACAGTATAGTGCCTTACGGAGCATTAAGGAGGAGACTAATACAGCAGCAACTTTACTGGTGGTTTGGGAAATAATATACTTCAAGTTGGATGATGGAGTTCGGTGCACCTGCTTTGGCAAGAAGATTGAAAAGCTTATCTCTCTCTATTCCCACTCACCCACCCCCGGTATTGTTATAATCAAAAGATTTCTGCAGATGAAACTTTATTTGGCGCTGAGACAAAGGTATGCAGGTTGAACTAGGAGCGTAATTTTCGACACTGCGTAGAACAAGATTGTCAAACACGTTTAGTGCAGATAAATTTTATGCTGAGGGTGGAATCGCAACGTACCGCTCTTCCGAACTGGCGTGATACTGACAGCAAGACTTCGAATAGATCAAAAAATGCGGCAGCCATGCTCACAACACACTGCTTTTGGTGAACTTATCAAATTATTTAATTGATAGGGTTTGAAAGACCGTTCAATGCACTCGTCATGTTGATTGAAGAACATCTATCAGGTAAAGAAATGCTCAGGGCAGTGGTTCGACACGCCAATTAGGATATTTTGGATAACTTCATGACTGTATTGCCTAAAGCTCATAACTTGTATTTTTGATCTACCGGAGAGAGGTCGGCTGATATCCTGACTACATTCCACATTCACAAACAGCTTCTAATGGGTAGCATGATCTAAACATACAAAATATTGATTCGGACTTGATATTTTCGACAAGGGGTATAGTTGATGAGTGCTCATTTGCCGTGTAAGCTCATTCTTCTTTGCCTCGCAGTTTTTTTAGGTGGAGCAGAACAAATATTATTTGCTCTAACATAAAAAGGTATTCGGTTGGGCAACACTTGCGGACAGAAAACCTAAGATAATCGGTAGGATGAGGCCAAGCTTTCTCAAGATTTTATAATCAAACATGGGTTAATTGGTGTCTAATGAAAGAGAAATCATCGAGGTGGTATAAGAACAGACTGAAGGTAGAAACGATGAGTCAGCAGTGAAGGATAAAGTAAATATCGGTGGTTGTTGAACGGTCAAAATTATGTGCTACGCGCTTTCAAAAAAGATCGTGTCATAACCATTCCTACCTACTCTTCAGAGATAGAAACCGATAACCAACTCCTCGGGACTTGGGTTGGTCTCGCTAGATTAGGCGTGGTAATGGACAGGACGACAGCAAAGCTGCCTACCACCCAAGTTGGGTGGCGGTGGCCATGCTCGAAACTCGTGCTATAGGGTTCCAAGCACGCCGGTGACAGCGATTAAACCACTGTGCCACCGCTGTAATCTGAAGTGGTTGGTATCTATCGAGAGTGAACAAGGGCTGAAGCAGCCTAGGGACAGAGCTAGATTTCGATCAGGCAATTTGTATTATCAAAATCGTTATTCTTCTTTTTGCGATTATTTTTGATTTAAGTGGGAGAACTACAACCATTTCAATCTATATTACTTTCTATGGTGAAGCTTAGTAAAGAAGCGTGATGAGAAAAAAGGTTTGCTCTGTGGATTGAATTAGTTCCATTTGTCCAAATCAGTGTGGACGATTCCACCGGATATCGTCTCTAATGTGACTTCATTACAGCTCCTTCATTGCAAGGTACGACTCTCTGAACAATAAAAGAGTCATAATGCTACAACCCAAAGAAGTTATCAGGTTTCACTATTAAAAAAGCAAAATTAAGATGGAAATGTTTATGATAACCAGCAAAGAGCACTAGACAGCTGTTTTGTTCTGTTTGGGACTTGTCAGCATTGCGTACTTTTTGTGCCCCTGTCAGAACTCGAACCGCGATTCTTCGGGTTAGGACTTCAAACCCTTACTCCTGAGCTTAACCATCTCCAAAGGAGTGAAACCCACACCCAAGAGTGCCTGGTGCATCTTGCCAGTCGAGTGGGCTAATCCAAGCTTGCTACTCTAAAATGACGATAAGGTAGTCAAGTGTAATCCATTGTAAAGTTTTCATCAGCATATATTTTACATGGAGCGCTTCGTGTGAACAGGCAACGATAAGCTTTAAGCTGCTTCAAATTCATTAATCGATATGCACTAGGCGATGATTTGGCTTGGATGGGTTAATTTGGCTAGTGTCATACAAAACGTGTACTCGTGGAGTAACGTAGAGTACTTCTTATTAGGACAAAGCTAATCTACCATGACTTGAAATTGATTTGTCATGACATTTCTTCGCTAGCCTCGATCAGTTTCTATAAGGAGATCGAGGATCACCATGTATGCATAAGTGTTGAAGATTCCACACTGTTTTGTCGATAATCGTGAAGGACCTTAAATGGAGTTTACGAAGCGTGGCTAATCGATTGACGTGGGCACACGTATAGAAAGAGTGCGTCTGCATGTGAGCCCGTGCCTGCCGCAACATAGATCTGGGCTACATTATAAGCCTCTGAGCAATTTGAAACCGTACATGACAAAAGAGAAGTCAGTTAACTGATTTCATATCTGAAAATGTAATCATTCTATCCCAATACCTCGATCTGATGGTTAATTTTTCCCTGAGAATTATCTGACTGCCCCCCCCCCTTGTTATCCCATGATATTTACCCTTGCTCACCCAACCACTCCGTTTTTCAATGAAATATTTAAGCTTTATTTCCTAAGCCCTACTTTGGCCATGCATCGTCCAATTCGTCTACGCATTCTGACTTTAAACTAATTTCCGCCTACTCTGCCCAACTACGGAAATTATGATTCGCGCCTAATATGGCCTGGCACCACTATTGAAACTTTGCCTATATTTATTTCGGTTCACAAAACCTTTACAAGATTTCACATTGGCATTTGAGTCACTAAAACGCTTTTCACTGATCCCCAAAAAGATGGTTTAAAAAGAAAAACAATCGGAAACGGGTAAGGAAGGGAGATTAGTGATAACATCGGATAATTTGCTCGTATCAAAAAATGCATACTTTAGGCCCAGTCCCGAATAATTCCTATACAAAACTAATACCTGAAAGAAGGGCTAGAAATGCGGAACAAGTCACGATTTGTGAGAAGGACACAGTGAAAGGTCATTATGCGATGGATGCGAGGGATTATCAAGGTTTGTTAAGGCCATCCTCTAACACGAAACCTTGTGAGAGTCACGTGGTTTTTTGGATCTTGATGTTTCCAAAAGGTCTTCACACTCATGTATGAATAGGAGAATCGTACTGTCTGTTGAAGAAAAAACAATGTAAGCCACGAAGACAGACGCAAATTAAATTGCGGTGCTTAAGAGACATGGGAGTAGTTATATGATCGCGTATCTGAAATTCATCGCAGCCAACTATTTCTTACCTAAATACAATCCAATTGCAGTACATTTTATCTGAAACTCTGTGCGAACCTTTGAGGACTTTATCCCAGAGGCATATATCAATGAAATGTGCATGGTTTGACGTTGAACGATTTCTAACTATTGGCATCGAAGTAACTCACTCGTGAATGTGATGAATATGAAAGGGTATGAAATTTCTCCCTACTCACCAGTCCACATAGTCAACAACCCTTCAGTTGAGGAAACCTCTCATGAGTCACATGTTGAATTTATTCGTACTCCAGATTAGGGGTACCAATAAAGTTTTGTAGTTCAACTGATAGAGTACAAATGGTACATGGGGGCAGGAGGGGTCTCTGCGTGATTTCAAACCCCATAGAGAAGACCGAAGTATTTAAATC